GAGCGTGTCGTCTTCGCGTAGCAATCCCACGTCACCACACCGAGTGCCAACATGTCCGCCTTCGGGCCGATCTCCACCTCTTTCATCAAAGTGAAGCTGCTGAGCAGTTAAGGGAAACGACAACAAAATGAAACACATAGTCATACTTCCTGCCAAAAAACAAGTCAATTCTTAAAGACATGGCTGTTACTAGCAAGATATGAAGTTTTTCAGGCTATGTCTTTGACTAAGAAGCTGAGTCTACGACTGCATGTGCTGACATGACTCTTCTATGAATCAAGAATCAGATCTTTGTGTCAAGTTTTCAATTACAATGGCCATTGCGAGTTTGCTAGTAGTAATGACATCAGTTGGATCCGGGAATGCCTGAGGTTGATCTGGTCCTGCAGTTCAGATCCGCAAAATCATAAAGTGTTACTAGAATGAACATACGCACCGGGCTTACTACTTTCAACTTTCTTCGACTAGGATTCATGGTCCAGGCCTTGCCGTCCCCGGAGTAAAGGCACTCGATCGGCCGGTAGTACGTCGTGTAGACTTCGTCAGCTCTGACTTTTGCTTTTCCATTGAGTGGCAAAGCTCGGCAAAAACCAAAGTCGGACAGCACCACCCGCTCGCCGAGGAGAAACACGAGGAAGTTGTTCGTTTTCACGTCCAAATGTACGATGTTTTTGCTGTGCACAAATGTAAGAGCTGCGAGTGTCTGCCGAAAGTACGTCGTTACTTGGGCTCGTCGTGTGCTCCAGGGAACTCCGTCCTGAAGGTCGTCCGTCTTCAAGTCCCGTGTGGCCTTCAAGAGGTCGCAGGAAGCCCGCTCCATTAGAATTCCCGTGTGCCCAGTCGAGGATGTCAGCAAGGCATAGAGTCGCAGAACATTCGGATGAGGTCCTATCTGGCTCAAAAGAGTGAACTCACGGGTCAAGTCCCACGTCTTTTCGAGACCGTCTTGGTGCACGTCCAACAGTGCAGTCTCCCTGTCCGGCGTGCGAACGGCCACTTTCAAGGCTAACTTCAGGCCCTGGTACGTGCAAGCGAAAATCTCCCTGTACGTGCCGCGACCCATATGTTTCTCCTGCACCAGTGGGTCCTCGGCCGTGTAGCGAAAAATGCCACGACCGTCGAAGTCCTGCGACTCTGCGACGTCCGGCAGTTCTCTGTCCATGAACGAAGCGGGGGGAACTTCCGTGTGTTTGGCCTGTCGAAATTCTTCGCGTTGGACCCGATTCTCCTGGTAGCCCTGCCTGGCCTTGCGTGTGTACTCGTCACGGAGGTCCTTTCGGTTGTGCCTCGGGGAACAGAGGAATTTTACTGGACGATTGGGTGAAAAGGTAATCCCCGAGTAAAAAGTAACATGACTTGTATTAGGACTTTTAGCTACATCTTATTAATTATGTCTGAAGTAAATAACTTTGGTACGTAGCTAAGATGGCATATTCGGGTTCCTGACCAGAATTGCCAAGATTTTACTTCCCGTGGCTTCAGATGACTTGGGGTTCTAGGCAAGGGGCACATGTGTCAGTATCTATATTGATTTTGCAGCCAAGAAGCCACTTGCGCAGATAATGTATTGAACCGCGAAGTGATGTTTTCCGGGACAGTCGACGACGAGATTTGGGGTCCACAGAGTCCTTGCACATGTCCTGCATGAACAGCGCGTATGCCGAGGGTCGTCGTGACAGTCCCACCTCCTGTAACTTCGGCCTGGCCACCATGGCACGAGTAATACTTCGAGGATGGAACCACGAGTCGAGACATGTACAGAGACTCTTTCCGTTCCATTTATTTCAACAAAACTGAATTCTCATGGACTCCCACCGAGAATAACAACCTAGGTTTCAAGTACAAACATTTCTGGTACAATTTCCAGTTGCGCTACATGACTACTCATTATCTTGTGTGTCCGTGGGGAAAGTTACACAAAAGGTGAGTGAGGGCGCGTTGGCTCGCCATATCAGTACATGTCTGGCCTACTTAAATACGTGCTCAATGCATGGACGACATGCTCCTGAACTTGAACCCACATCACCGCCACTGTCTCACACACGTAGCAGTGCATTACAGAAGTCTGACTAGAAGCATCAATTGCACGGATCAAACACGCGTGCAAAGCGGAATAATCCTCTTTTGGGCCCGACGAATGTGTGCATCGATGCTGAACGACGATGTGCTACGAGGAGAAAAAGTCCAATCAGTCGAACCTTGTCAATCGCTCCTGCAAGTTTTCGGGTGGGTCACGTCCTTCGTGGTGCTCCACCCATGACCAACCTTGTGTTACACAGGCTCGACCGGCGGCAGCTTCACCTACTTGTGTCCATGAAATACTACGTGTAATGCTGACTACAGCTGTCTTGTACGACACCTTCCAACGACCATTCTTTGGGTCCGTCCAAACCTGTACAGTATCAGGAACCATGCTCTTCACAAGCTCGTCCGTCGTGGCATTCAGCTTTGCGTACACCCGGTCGTACTGCTGCTTTAGCTTTTTGCTGTCCTTCTCGGCCTTCTGAGTCTTGCGTCGGCGTGTGTCCTGTCCGGCCTTCCAAAAGTCCTTGTCCAGGTCCGAGACGGCGTTCTTGTACATCGTGCATACCTTGGGTCGTAGACTTTTGGCCGAAACCGTGGACCGACGGGCACTGCGCTCCTTGAGGGCCTTGTCCTGCTCGCCAATGAGCAGCGTGTCCCGAACGACGGCTTCCAAGTCCTTGTCGTCGACCTCCGGCATCCACTTGTCAGTCTGATGCCTTGCCAGGATTCGTTGAACCACGTCCTCTTCGACCAACGAGTTGTCCATGTTGAGCACGGCGGCAACAGCCAGCTGATGTCCTGCGTCCACACCTGATTTGGGTTGGGTGGCGGTCCAACCCATGTGCTGGCACAACCTGCGCAACAAAGCCTCAGAACAGGCAGCGAAGCCCTGCTCGGCGTGAAAGTCCAACGTGCCCATCTTCTTGTCCACCAAAAACACGATGCCGTTGTTGAGGTGGCTGCCCTGCGTGGAACGACCCCAGCAGTAGCAGTAGCGGCAGCAACACTCTTAGTAAAAAATGATCGCAATCGTTAAGTTTTGCGCCTGGTCAGTAAAAAGCGGTGATATCACTAGGAAGACTGGTAAAAAGACTCGAAAAGGGTAGTAGTAGTAGTAGTAGTAGTAGTAGTAGTAGTAGTAGTAGTAGTAGTAGTAGTAGTGGTAGTAGTAGTAGTAGTAGTAGTAGTAGTAGTAGTAGTAGTGATAGTACTAGTAGTACTAGTAGTAGTAGTAGTACTACTACTAGTAGTAGTACTACTACTACTAGTAGTTGCAGTAGTAGCAGTAGTAGTTGTAGTAGTAGTAGAAGAAGTTGTAGTAATACTAGTAGTAGGAGTAGTAGAACTGGTACTAGTAGTAGTAGTAGTAGTACTACTACTACTACTACTAGTAGTACTTGTAGTAGTAGTACTACTACTACAAGCAATCGCAGTAGTTTACAGTAGTAGAAGGAATCTCAGCAACAGTCCTAGTAGTAGTAGTAGTATTACTACTACTAGTACTAGTACTACTAGTACTACTACTACTACTACTACTACTACTACTACTACTAATACTACTGCTAGCACTAGTACTAGCACTAGTAGTATGGCCAAAAAAGTGGTAGCAGTACACACAACCACACCCTCCTTTCGTCAATACCCAAAACCTCGACGCACGTGCCATCCTGGGCTACTCAACCTAACTCTGTGAAACTTCGAATCCTTGACTGTCGAATCGCCTGAGTTGTTCAGAAACCCATAAAAAATAGCTTCAGTGCTACCCCCCCCCCGGGCCGAAACTTACAATCTGAACCGGAGAAGCCTTCCGTGTCAATCAATCATCGTCACTCATTATAGGACGAATATATATGTAGAGAATGTCCGTGTCGGGCTGACAATGTTCAACTGTACTGCAGCCGAGGCACGCAGAGGTGAAACAACTCGCAGCCGCAACACTTCCAAGTCCAAAGATGTGCTGTGCATCCAAAAGAGAGACCGAACGCCCATGTTGAATTCGAAAACTCATGGTCCTTGTCCTTAACGATCTTGCCGGGCCATGCGAGTGCAGCCAAACGGTATGTCCGAACGATGAACAACGGGTCTGCACCTGCCAGTACAACATGTCCTTCGGGCAAAAGTCCAGAGCACCAACCTTCTTCACAAAGCGACCATCGCTTGGCCCTCCACGCCTTCATCAGTAAACTGAAGGCAGCCAAAACCTCCTGTTCCTCGGCGTGGTTGTGGGAGACCCAGTCCCTCGTCTTCGTCACGTCTGCAAGAAGCTGTGCTTCCTGCACCTCCGAGGCACTGACCTGCGTGCTGACCGACGAATCGGAACGACGACGAACTGCTTGAATCTTCTTCTTCTCGGTGTCTTTGCAGAAAAGTTTGGCCACGTCAAACGCTGCCGGCGTGTGGTAGAGCTCCGTTGACAGTGCCTCCCCCCTCTCGTACATCTTGACCACGGCCTGTTGGGTCACAGCCTTCCATCCGTCCAAACGACCCAAGTCCTTCGAAGACGAATGTCGTTGCTCGGCCTCGCGCTGGACTTTATTACAGTCTTCGATGATCTTCGTGTTCAAGAGGCCCGACCAAATGCTGGTCAATACGTGTGCAACGTCCTCCGTAAGGCTCTGAAACCGGGTAGTGCAAAGATCGGCGAGGATGTACCGACTAATCGGCCCTTGGGAGAAATGACCTTCGAGCAATTTTTGCCATACGAGAACCACCACTGTGCGTGTCCTGGATACAAGACTGCATCTCTTTGAAAAAATCCAAGCTTGCCCGACGGAACTGCTCTTCAGCATGGACTAGTCCTGCGGTCGCACCGAAACCTCCAGTATGGTACAGCTGTGCCCCGGCCCGCAGCCGCAGGATCTGTAGTGTCAACTGCGTCATTTGGCCTGCGAGCGAGTCCTGCCAGACAAGCTCTGTCTCCTCCGGGGGTTGTGCGCGTGCCAGTGTCAGGTCGAGGCCGACACGAGATAAACCTTCCAAATTCGACAAAGTCCTGACGTGGTCCTTTGCAGTGCTCATCCAAGACCAGTGTGCCCAGCCAGAGTAGTAGTCCTTCGTCATGCCTTTGGAACGCAGCTGCTTGAGCATGAGCGAACAACGAAGCTCTTCGGGTTGCAAGACCTGGAACATCATCCTGGCTGTCGTCTTGTTGTCCTGCGAGATCACGAACTTCGTCATTAAGTGTAGACTGTTCGCGCTGCCCTTCCGCTCCTGGTCCATGCTTTGCTTGGCCTCCTGTATGGCAGAAGACTTGCTTCCACCATATGGAACCGAGGCACGGGCCTGGTTGCTGTCCTGCGAGAAGAGGTCCTTAGTGGAAACTGCCCAGTTGTGCTCCAAGCAGACCACCGTGAGAACTAAAGCCAAGACCGACCACTCTTTGTCCAGCGCGCTGTGGGCCGTCGTCAGGGAATTGAACCGACTCTTGCTGGCCTTCGTGCCCTTGATGCGGATGCAGTCCATGTCGGGTAATGTCTGCAAAAACGACCTGCGTTTCTCCTCCGTGTTGTCGTCCAGGGGGGAGAGGCCGGCGTCCAGCAGAATGTCCGGGAAGAAAAGGAGCAATATCGGGTCCGAGGGGTCCATGTTGTCCTTCATGCGATTTGCGGCTTGCTGGATCTTCAACGCCCACGAGCCCTTCTGCCAGGGTCCATACCTGATGTTGTACAGCGAGATGCACGTGCAGAACTTCAGGAGTCCAGCGGCCGACAAGGCCAAAGCCACGTCGTTGTGCGACCTGTGGGCGGGGTCCGAGACGTGTTCGATCCAGAGGCTCTTTTTGTTCCTCAAGAAGGAGACAGCCGCCAGCTGTGTTGCTTCTTTGTCGGTGCACAAAATCATGATCGGTGCACGTTTAGCCTTCGTGTCGTCCTCCGCGGGGCCGGCCGGCGTGCTCTGGCAGCAGCCAAAAGTCCAGCCAATGGGTCGCAAGCCGTGGTTTATGTCCTGCATCCCAGACAGTGTGGCCAGCCGGTCCTCCGCATGACCAGGTCCAACGGGTTTCTCGATCCCGAGGAACTTCTTGGAAGCCTTGTTCCACATAGCTTTCCACTGCTCAGCCGACAAGACGGACGATTTCTGGACCTGCTGCGTGGTCTGACTACACAGAGAAAAATGTGAAGCAAAGCTTAGAGGAAGAGCTTGTCAGCAACAGCATGCAAAACAAACGACAGAGGTTGTTACCATATAATCACCCAGGGGCCCTTTTTTGGGGGACCGGCCGGTCAACTTAAGCGGGGATCTGGCGTACCTTTTTGGGGGCCGAAATGCAGCCAAAATGTGGCCGAAATGCGTTCCTCGGCCTCCACCCGGGACCCGGTCAACTTAAGCAAGGCTGTGCGTACCTACTCATCAGTAGAAGGGCGGCCGGGAGCCTTTATCAGGCCAATCCCGAAACCCAGGGGTCAGCGGGGATACGTGTACCTATCTTTATATAAAATACAATAGAAAGACTCCGCCCCAAACCGAGCCTGAGCGGGGATACGTGTACCTCCCCTCGGAAAAACGATTTTGGTCGGACCCAGAAGCTACGAAAACGGCACCCAAAAAGGTCAACTTAAGCAAGGCTCTGACGTACCTCGCCTCTTGCCTAAAACGCCTCAGAAATATGTGTTGCTTAACAAAAAAAAAAGCGCCTGCGGCGGGCAGACCCAAACTTTGTCCGTCGTGTGGTTGTACACCATGATGTTCAGCCAATCGTCACTTCCCACGTGCACTGCATCTGCCACCACGCACAAAATGTCCGTCGAGAGGAAATCTGACTTGCCCTGCGTGACATAGGCGTATCGCTCCATGCGTGCTAGCCTGTGTGCGTCCATAGAAGCGTGCTTCTTGATCTTTTGTTCGTCCTGCTGTTCGCTGCTGTCCTGCACGGTGAACGCATGTCCTTGCAATGTGGAGGTAAGTGTCCTGCGTGTGGCATTCGATGAACTCGCAACCTCTTGTCGAAAACTCGTGGACGACCGACGATATCCGGAGGTGCTCCTGAAACAACAGGGGGAATATCAATTTTCGGGCTTTCAAGACACAACCCTACATCTTAAAACCCCGGAACCCTCCAAACCCTTCAAACCCTCCAAACCCTCGAATCGAAACCTCTCTCCTAAGCTGCATCACTTGCTTCACATTCAAAGATGTCCAGCAGGAATGCGTGTCGTCCGACGAATCCATGGCACGTGCCAAAGCCGCCAACAAGTAGTACTTCGTCCTCAAACTAGATGACTTGCGAGTGTCTCCAATTGTCCGACGGGTGCAGTCCACATTCACATCCTGCAGCACGTCCATGAATCGGGAACGATCGCGGTGTAGTACTTTAGCAAGTAAACTGTTTTGCAGTACAACCTCGTCCACGTCCAGCGAACCTCCTTTGAACGGCAGCACCAGAGTGTTTCCGTCCCACGTGAATGAGAAGTCCTGCGGGGTCTGCAGGAACAAGGAAGCGAGGCCTTGAAGCAACTCCCCGGCCAGCTTGGATACCTCCTCTGCCGGCTTCTTCCATTTGGCATCTTTGCGCATACCCTGGTGCCATTGATGCAAAAGAACAATCGTTGCAAAGCTCGACGTGGCAAACTCTGTACAACGTGTGCTTCGTCCAGCTGCTACCTCTTCCATCTGGTCACCCGTGTGCTCCTCATTGTCCGCTTGCTCGTTGTCGTCCTCCATGTCGTCCTGCATCTGCTGCGAGGATGCCTTTCGTTTGGTGCCCTTCTTCTCGGCGTTTGCAGCGTGCTCCTGCTGCTTGAGGAGGGAGAACGAACTCTGGAGAAAGTGCGACTCGATCTCTTTTTTCAGAGCGTCCTCCGTGTCTGTCCAGCAGGGCCATGCAATCGTGAAGAGCTTGTTCCTGAACGTCGACACACTGCCTGCGAGGAAATTTCGAGACTCGTGTCCTCCGAGGAAGTCCACAAACCAACGCATGTGCCAAAAACGATGTCCATCCGTTACCTTGGTCTGCGGCTCTTTGAACTTGTAGCTCTCGCCCTTGAGGCTTCCGTGTGTCCCGCAGGGAATGCAAAATGCAACTGTCCGACGCTTGTCCGACGCAGAGCTGAAAAAAGCTGGAGGTCCTGAAGAAGAGGGTCCATCGGCAGAAGCGGGCTCCAGCATCTGATAGCGAGTGGATCAATTCTACAGTCTGTTTCTGGTGAACGAATGTAGCAAAACTTTATAGGCTATGTCCCAGGAAGTATATGTGACATCTGCCAAACCAAGAGAAAGGGAGGCTCTGCAGGCATGCAGCTTTTATTCTGGAAGCCCAAAGACAGCGGCAACGAATCGCTGATGTCGCAAGGCAGTGCTCACACCACGTGTCATGGGTCTGTGTTCTTCTGCAACATGTATGTAGCACATACTGCAAGGCACCGCAAGGAAGTCATTATTGCAGTCAGCCATTCATCGCACGTATTCTTTTATGCAGCTTGCAAGTTGCCGGCTTCACGGCCCCAGTGAAACTCGTGCCTGTCCACTCACTCAGACACAATGGGTCGAACGGCGAGGCGAACGACATTGTGCTTTTCGAGTGAACAAACTGGACAGAACAACGAGTAAAGTCAACCCCAAACTCAAGACACACTGAACTACCAGGAGAGAGTGCATTATGCACTCCGGACCGACGGGGTGCCCTGCGGCACATTGTCGCCGAGGCCAGCCGTGGTGTCTGCGTCCGACGACAAGTCGAAGGTCCACTTGGCCTTCATGTCCGGCAAAGTAGGAAAGAAACTCGCGCATTCAAAACTGAACAACGAGTTATGCTGTCCATCTGAAATGACACAGTCCACCGCAAAAGGGTCGTCCAATTGCCACGTCTTGTTGTCCGGGAGAGTAGGAAGCTCGTGGCTGAGGTACGACTCGTTGGGTACGAACTCCGAGCGGGAACGGCGAGGGTGTCCATCTTGTGTGGCAAAGACGTGGCAGTACAACGTGTTGTTCTCAAGTGACCAGATGTTGTACCTGTCCCGGTCAACACTGATAGCCTCCGCCGAGTTCACCGCAGCTATGTAGTTGCGACCAACGTCCTCCATGCGGGCCCTCGCTAACTTGACCAACGTGGACTGATAGCGAATGTCCGCACGAGATGGCAAGGACGCCGACTTGGCTGCCCAGAACTGGATCTCGAAGAGGGTCCGTACGACGGGTTCGTCCTTCTGTACGTCCTCCGCGAGCTCCACACCGCAATGCTTGAGCATTAAGCTCGCCATCTCAAGCGGCAAACTGCCCCATTTGGTGCACTTGCCCTTCCATCTCAGTCCACCGGTCTCCTCCTTCTTGGCAACGTCCTTCAGAAGACCATTCAACGAGCCCGAGCGGATCAGACCAGCGAGTGGAGAAATCCAAGTCGGGTTCTGGGTCAGCGTGTCTTGAATGAACCGCATGTCCACGTCGAGTATGGTGCTTTTGGAGTGCTGAACGGCGGATGCGAACGTCGCCTCGTTGCGCTCCCGGGTCTTGATGTCCTTCGCTTTCTGCTTCGCCAGCTGCTTGAGGGTGGGCTTGCGGGGGCCGGCATCACGAGGCATGCTGGGCAAGGTCCGTCGAGGAAGAACGACGGGGGAAGGATGATAAGACTGCACGAAGTCTCAACGCACAGGCAGGACGGCTTCGGAAAACCAAACAATCAATCAAGCCCTGCTGCTGGGTGGTCTCACAGTGCATTGTGACTGGACGAACATGGCAAGCAAGACACAAAGCGTAGACCGCACGAGAGCACAGTGCCTGAAACGAGAAGGCTCAGCGGCAGCGATGCCGGCCAATGGAGTCCGTGTCCTCCATATGAACAGGACAACAGCGATTGCAAGAGCGCCTTCCTCCAGCTGGTTGACTACTGGTCTAGTAATTACTCGTAGCAATACTAATCCAGATTGCGAAGAGTAGTACTAGCAGCAGTACCACTACTCATTAAAGAAAGGAAAAACCAGTAGGCCGAAATTGCAGTCCCTATTAGTTGAAGTAGAAGTATTAGTAGTAGTAGTAGTACTAGTAGTACTAGTAGTAGTAGTAGTGTACTAGTAGTAGTAGTAGTAGTAGTAGTAGTAGTAGTCGTAGTAGTAGTACTAGTACTAGTACTAGTCGTAGTAGTAGTAGTAGTAGTACTAGTCGAAATAGTAGTAGTAGTAGTAGCAGTAGTACTGGTTAGCTAGTAGTAGTAGTAGTAGTACTAGAAGTAGCAGTAGTAGTCGTAGTAGTGCTAGCAGAAGTAATAGTAGTACTAGCTAGCTAGCTAGCTAGCTGGCTAGCTAGTAGTAGTAGTAGTACTAGTAGTAGTACTACTAGTACTAGTAGTAGTAGTAGTAGTAGTAGTAGTAGTAGTAGTAGTAGTAGTAGTAGTAGTAGTAGTAGTAGTAGTAGTAGTAGTAGTAGTAGTAGTAGTAGTAGTAGTAGTAGTAGTAGTAGTAGTAGTAGTAGTAGTAGTAGTAGTAGTAGTAGTAGTAGTAGTAGTAGTAGTAGTAGTGGTAGTGGTCGTACTAGTACTACTAGTAGTAGTAGTAGTAGTAGTAGTAGTACAGTACCAATGCTAGTAGTACTTGTACTAGTCGTGGTAGTAGTCGTAGTACTGAGTTGTACACCTCATGATTATTTTCCTGAATCAAGCCACACCCGAAGCCCCTCTGTGGACAAGTATGGTGAACTTCCAGAAGTGAAATCGGTTTATACCATGCACTGTAAGTAGATCTAGTTAAGGAGACACCACCCGCAATGAATAGGCCAGAACTAACCTTACTGATTCACAGCCACAAACAACAAATCTAATGTGTAACGCCCAACACTAAAATTTACCGCTCACCCTCGATTCTATGCACTCGATGCTTGAAATGCTGAAATGGCAACCCAGGCAACAAACCGGACTCCAATTGCTCAAAGGCCTTTAACTCTTTATGTCTACGGCAATTGCTCCATGTCTGCTGCAGGTGGATCCTAACTTACCTCAGAGTCCGCGGAATGCCTTGTCACAATCCGAAAGCATGACCCCTGACTTAGTCCTCGTCCTGCCGTGTGGCCGTGCCCTGCGAACCGAACGAGGAGTGACCGACCTCAATTGCAATGCATGAAGCACATGACAAACCTAGTACGAGTGACTGGTGACTGCGGGTGGTTCAAGCACTTGTCGCTTCCGAGTGTGACAGGAAAGAACACAGCAACTGTGCCGATGCAAATCGTCACAAACTGTGCAGCACCAGAACTCCGAGGACCCCGCCAAAGAGGTGCCAGTCCATGTCAGCAACCTGAAGCGCAAAAGTTTAAGTCAGCAAACAGTGCGATAGGAACTAACATCCGGCAAATGTAAAGTGTGCCAGGACAACTCTTTTGAACGGCGAGAGCGAACTGATCTGAACTCCGAGTGCAGAAAACGTGTCACTTTCGAGACTGGCCGGCGAGAGCGAACTGCTCCAGAACTCCAAATGGAGACTGGCCGGCGGGTACGTCGTGCTTGAACGAACTGCGGCTAGTTCCACGAGCCCGGTCCAAGTTCGAGTTTCTTGAGAAACAGTCCGATGCACTGAAAGTCGATCGTGTCACCTGAACCAGCGATGTCCGAAAATTTGTCGACTTGGTAAGTATTTCAGTTATACTACAAGGTTTACCAACAAAAATCTTACTGGTTCTGCTGTTGCACGTCCGTCGGGGCCCTTCGTGATGCAGAAGTACAAGTCCGACGCGTTGTGCGACGACACCGCGTAGTACATGTGGCCCTGCCAGGGAACGGGGACGGCCACCGGGTAGGCCTCCCAGTCGCGGTTCAGCATCTCGACCATCCACGATTGCGGGTGTCGGGAACCGAACAGCGGGGAATGGAGTCCGGCGGAGAGGGCGTTGTCTGTCCTGCGCTGGGCCGCCCCGAGTATCTGCTTGAAGCAGAGCCTGGACCGGCAGTGGGTGCTGCGTGTTTAACCACTCACACACACAAGTGCAAGTACTGGAATGCTTGAATGACTGAGTGCGCTGATGTCATAGCTGAGTGCCACACTCCAACATTTTATCGCCCTGCATGTGTTCGACGAGTATCTGCCAGCCGTCGTCCTTCCTGCTAGGGAACAATTCAATTATCAGAAACACAAACTATTAAAATCTAGAAGTCTCTCTCACTCACCGTCCGAGGAGTCCGTGTCGCGAAGGCAGGGGGCCGCTTGTACAGCAGTCCATCGGTTGCAGCAAGCCAAGACCAAAGCCTACGGGATGTGCTCTGTGGAAAAGAATCAATGTATTATAATATTATATGGCTTTAAAAGCATGCACCTTCATAGAAACCACGCTACAACCAACATGGGTGTAACGAGCCTGTCCGCCCATTTCTGCTGCGTGTCGTACGGCGAGTGTTCGGGTACAAAGACAGTCGAGAGCCATTCGGTGCGCCATTCGGGCATCCTGTCGGGTTGTCCAGTGCGGAAATAATATGCCTGCGCAAGGCTCAGATCGGCGAGGAAGCACTGCAAATCCTCCTGCGAGTCAATGTCCGGCGGAAGGCAGTCCAAACAGTTCGACGGCAGCTGCTCGCAATAATCGAGATTACGCTGCAGGATGGTACTTGGGTCTTCCATCCCACAGACCGACGCGAGGTAATAGTCCATCGCACGAAAATCGAATATGACCTCGTCCTGCGGGTCGGTGGAACGGCGAAGAAAAAACGGGAGTCCATGGGGAAGTCCTGCTCGGTCAGCGGAACCGGAGGACGACATGTCCGACGAGAAAGAACGAGGAAAGGGAGAGGAATGATGATGACAGTGGCAGGTGGCTTGGGCTTTCTGGCAGCGGCATGATAACAATGATTCTGTGTCTAGGCTTCTTTAAAAAACCTAAAGCATCACCAACCACGACAGACCATGATGCTTCAGATGAAAGTCTGCCTGACTTGTGCTGCTGCTCCACACTGGCAAGTGCTAGGCTGCCCACGGTGATCTACGTGTGCCCACTCGAAGTCCAGCGGAGTCACCTTTGTGAGGCCGACGTTAGTACTACATGGGAACCATGGACTCATGATTTGTCCCTAGTCCTTCGGGGTGGTCCTGCGGTGCCGCTTTTGAACTTCCTAGCTTAAATCATAGTAACTTCGAATGCAAAGTGCACAGAAAAGGAGCTTGGACAGTCCTAGGAACCGACCTTGAACAGTCTGGTTACAAAACCCAGCATTCTTTACAAGAGGCAAGCTGCATCGAACTCCGAACGACCGTTGCAATGTGTACTGACGACCCAGGCCTTGTGTCTAAGTCTTCAAACTGACATGTATAACTATGATTCTAAACTGCATTCAGTCAGCTGCTAACCACCCTTGTCCCAAAGGAACCCCACACCCTGTGTAAACCCGACAGCTGAAACACAGACTCTGTGTGTGTGTGTGGGTGTGTGTATGTGTTGTCCTGTGTATGTCCTGCGAGTGCCAACAGCTGTTGCTTAGTGTTGCATGGGAAACCAGATGAACACAACGTCCCAAATGAAGTCCCCAATCTCAGAAGATGTAAGTAACAAGCGAAGAAACCTGTAAGTAGCATCTCAAGACAAGATGGTTCCAAAGGCAACCGCTAAAGAAAAGTATAAGTACCAGGAGAACAAACAGGGAATGTGCATTCTCGAGTCCAGTACCATTATACCACTGCACAAGTGCAAGAACTTACTGTACTTACCCTGTGCCCTGAAGAGAACCATCCTTTAAACCCAAACAAAAAAAGCATGAACAGACCTGAGCTTGCAACGAAGGATTGCGCATGGAAGACCTGATGCGAGGAAGCTTGAGGGCTTCTCCTCTTTAATATTTTATAATTCTGAGTATTAATATAATATTATTATTGCCTGATGTGAAACCTCCACAAAGACTGAGACACCCAATCCAAACCACTTTTTGACTGTCCATGGTTTGAATATCAAAAAGCTCGTAAATTAAATATGAAGACAGACCTTTCCTGAGAGGGAAGAATAACGATTCTGAAGCCCCCTGTAGACTACTGCAAACTCCATTATCGCAAATCCACCTCTGAGTCTTTGCCATCCGACTTAACATTTACATAGAAGACATGGACACCACATTTTCCTAGCCGCATGGCATATGAGAAATATGAATTATCTGTGCAGTAACGGCGCGGCAAAACAGCTAACTCCAAACCGTGATAAATCTTTCATAAGAGACCACGACCCAACCAGCAACACATGATCGGAGCCGCTCTGAGCACCCAGCTGCGAAGAAAGGGTGGCTTCAAAGCACCTGACGCTGGCAAACACTGGCATGCTGATACGACTCACTTACTACCTCAGGAAAGCATTCTGCGGCAACGACTGCAGAACCGCACTTTTTCCTGCTGTGTCCGGCGAGTCGAGAAGTTGGCGAGTCGAGTACCGTGTATCAGACCGACGAATCAGGATATTTCTCTGTCTATTCCAGGATGCTGCTATGCGGCCTTCTAAAACATTAATTTAATAGTTTGTCCTTCGAGGAACCGTCGAGTCTGATATGCACGGGAACTACGGGGGACTCCGTCCTCCGGGGGGAGCAGCCGGCTTGCGGATGCAGGCGGGTGCCTGCTTTGGCGCC